GTCTACCTCGCCGCCAACGCGGCGCCCCTGTTGGCCCAGCTGGACGACGCCCTCGCGTGCCCGACCGCGGGCAGACGAGGGTTGGGTCATCGCGGCGGTTGAGCTGCTGGCGCCGGTCGCCCTGGCAGCCGCCCGGGCGGCGGCCAGCGGGCGTCGGAGCAGGTGTTGCACGTGGCCGACAGTTCCAACGTGGAGGTCTGACTGGCGAAGAGGCGCCCCGAGAGCATACAGGAGCGGTCAAATTGATGCACCTCTCCCTGCTCCGTTGCTCCGTCGCATAGCAAGCGAAGCATCGCCATCGAGATGCACACACTTTTTTCGTCGGCGGGTCGGGAGCGGGCCCTTTCCGGTTAAGAGCTAGGCGGGGCGCGCGAAACCCTAATTGCGGAGACAGGGCGCGGGCGGGCGGGGCCTCAGGCGGCCGGAGGGCGCAGAGCACAGGCGGTGCCGAAGATCTTGCACAGGACCAGGTACGCCATGGACAAGAGCCGGGGGCGAAGTCCCGGAGGGAGAGTGAATTGGTGTTGCCGTCAACGGCGCGCCAGGAACACCATCCTCGAGTGCTGCGTGGGGAGGGCCGTGACCATGTCAACGCCCATGAGGTAGAGGAAGACCAGGTAGGATCGAGATGGACAATCGGCACCCCATGCCATCGGAGGTCCCAGGGCGGTGAGAGAGGCTGCAGCGGCTGTACATTCCGTCGTTGTCTCTGAGGTAGTCACGGGGACCGGCCCCCGTGGACGCCGACAAGGTTTGTGCCTTGCGTGCGTGCTTCTGCGCACGAGCTCCTCGAAGGAGACCTAAAAATAAGCCTGCGAGGTCGTACCGTGATCTTGGGGGATGTGCTCAGGTCGGGCACGTTCCCCCTACAGGCGGACTTTGGGCGAAAAATAAAATAGGAGGCAAAACGTATTCAAAAGTAGTCGAAAAATGATGGAAACATCGTCCCCAGACTATTTCTTCTCGTTTGAAGGTTCCTCCTGTAGAGGGGCATGCCCGACTTCAGGATATGCTAGCGAGGGCTGCCCGTAGGAGGGCTGAGACCCACGCCTGCAGGGGTGCTGCTGCCCTTGGGCAGAGCTGCCCTGGGGACTCCACGCAGTGATCGACGCTGCCTGGAAATGACACGTCGTGCGGCATGCCCCCCTGCCGGCTGCATCACTCGCATGCCAACCCCGTCAGAGCCTTGGGTCCACTGCGCGCTGGCTGTGCGCTCGCCTCAGGCTTCAGTGTGACACCAAACTGGGGCTGCGAGATCCCTTTCTCAGCACTACGGCAGCTGCGGTTAAAACTTGATCGGTCTCATCTTGGCGCGTTCGGTTCGTCGACTGTTCTGGTTTCGAGTTTCCCGGAGGCGCCAGAGGTTCGAAAACACCCTCGGCCTTGGGCCCACGCTCGGCAACCGTTGGCGGCTCTGGCCTGAACCCAGGACCGCGCCAACTGGAAGTCGGACCTCAGCACGCGTTCCTATAGTCGAGGAGTCCGCCACGCCCTGGCGTTTTGGTAGATGCTCGCCCGCGTTCCTTTGTTCCACTGGTAGGGAGCTCAGTCAAGCGTGCGATCGAGAGGAAAGCAATCGTGCAATGTTTCTCGTGCAGCTTGGTCGGGCCCTGCCTTCCGGGAACCGATTCGGCAGGTGGCAGGCAAGCGTCTCGCAGAGACTTGGACGGCCCGTCATCAAACCTGTACCCGAGCGCCCAGTGTTACTGTCTTTGGACCAAAGTTCGCATGGCAAGACACAATCCTGATCCGACTGCCGTGCGTCAGGCGTGCGCTGGGGCACCTGGGCTTCTTTCTATCACGGAAGGTCTGATTGCCTAGCGTTCGAGCCTTGCCGACCATAACGTCTGGGCCCGATCCTTCGGAGAGCGGCCTCGAAAGCCAAGGTCCTGGGGTCCGATGCGTGCGAGTTGGTTTCTCGCTGTGCTTTTCCTGATCCCGCCCCTTGGTTTCAACGCCGCCCGAGGGACCCTGATCATAATTACACTCGGTGTCACAATTTGCCAAAAAGTCAGCCCCTGGTCATACCTGCCGACAGTGCTATTGTCACGGACTACGCGGGGCTTGGAGGCCAGTGAGAGTCTCAAAGTCGCTGGCTGTTCTGTCTCGATTGGTGGCGTCAACGGGGATGGGATGCTTTCCGTGTCTGGCGTCGTTCCCCTTAGTGAGGCTCCCGATCAGGCGATCAGGGATGGGGAAGACTGAGATGCGCTCATGCTATCAAGGCTCACTCTGATTGCTGGCCCTGTGGACCTTTTAGTGGGCTGTGCTGGCACTGTTGGTTGCCATGTGGGCCCTATCGGTGCGCGCAATCCCGAGAATCACAGGGTCTATTGGTGGGGCGAGATTGGAGATCGCCTGGAGGGCATCAGAATGCATAAGATCCTTTCCTACACCACAACGGCTCAGATGCTCGATGGAATAACTTCTTTTCAGCAACGTATGGGTAACGAGATCGACGACCAATTGGCCAAAGCCGCGGGCCAACCGTTCCGTGCCGTGGAGCCCTCCGCAGTTAGACTTTCTTGGAGCTGGCCCGTGGGATGTGCAGGCTCTTGACTGCGACGGAAGCTTGGCCTTCGGGCCTGATCCAAGGCGATCACAAGGACTCGGGCTGGATACAATCTGTGTTTTTGGACCCTGCCCCTTGGCTGCCGCCCCTGGGACGCATCCAAACCCTCCAGGAAGATGGCCAGCTGGGAAGCATGCGACCCTCGAAGCTGGAGTGTGGGATGTTGAGGGTTGTGTTTATGGCTCTCTGATGTGTTGCACCACGTGTGGTTCACGGTGCTCACTTGGAGGTACTGCCGACAAGTCGGCTCTCGTGTCAGATTGCCTGGGCCACCGGAAGGCTGGTCGCAAGTGACAGTTGGCGTGGATGCTGCAAGGGCGTCATCCCAACAACAAATGTGCCACGGTTGACCGAGCCATTGTCCTGTCGGAGCAAGGCCGCGCCACCCTGGCTGAAAAGAGGGGTCTTGACGACACTCCATCGCAGGCGCCCCTGTGTGGGTCCAGGGAGGGCTCGGCGGGGACGGGGTCCAGGGGATCGGTGCGGGAGGTCCAGATGATCCACGCGGGACTTCCCGACGATTTTCTCTCCGTGCCTCGAAGATCAGCCTGTCGATCCCGAGCGGGCGGGCGCCCTCGACAGTTCCGCTGCTCTGCGCCAGCATACCACGTGCCCCAAAAGGCGTCCTGAATGAAGCCACACCGGCACACCTGACATCAGTGGTATGCTGCGCTCCCTTCCGCCCTTCGTCCCGTCTTCCCTGACTCATGTCCTTCCTCCATCGCCCCTCCCCCAACTTCCCGAGCACGGCTCTGCCCGAACTGGTCTGACCAGACGAATGAATGTCTGCCTGACCCGAACCAACTCCACCGCCCGTCTGGGTCTACCCACCCGCTCACCTGTCTAAGTTGGACCGCACCCGCATGTATCGTGAATCCCCCAGCACATGGCACGTTCGAAGAATAAGAGGACAGGAATCGAAGGCTTTAGGCATACATGCTGAACAATCCTCGACCAAAGCAGAGCGAACAGTATTGATAGCTGTTGTCACATGCTTCGAGTGGCCTGCAGGCCCTGGAGCCTGCAGCACAGAACACGTTACCTCGAAGCGGTGACATACGCCCCCCAAGATCCTTCAGCTCAGCGATCTGGCCCCTGAGCGCCTCCCCAGTCGCCATGGAGACTCTCAGGGGCCAGATCGCTGAGCTGAAGGATCTCGGGGTGCGCATGACAGTTGTAGACGCTGCCTCACCCAGAGGTGGCTGGAAAGCCCAGCACTGGTGGGACCTATAAAGGGCCCTATAAAGGTGTCAACGCTTCCAGGGTGGGGGGGGGCAAAGCGCCCCCGGAAGGTTTCCGATAGGTCTGCGACGGTTCTCGCAAGGTTCTGGCCAGGCCCAGCAGGCTCCGCCAGGCCTGAAAGATGCGGGACAACTTGAAGGCCATCTGAAGCCTACAGTGGGTTCGCAAAAGTCTCCCTGGACGGGTCTGGTGAAACCCTGTGACCCCTTAAGACTCTGGAGGGTCCCGGGACGGCCATCGGGAGTTTCTGACCGTTTCCAGGGTGTTCCAAAATGGGTTTCCGAATGTTGTGCATCCGCAAGACTCCCTCCGGACTGTCCGGACGGATTCCCACGGTATCCTCTAGAACCGTCGAAGCGTTCCAGTGCCACTTAAGGTGCCCAGAGGCTGCAAAGAACACCCCAACAAAAAGGCTCAAAAAGGCTCCGACAGATCTCGAAGAGGCCCGCTGGGGGCCACAAGAGGGCCGCACGAAGGCCCCAATATGCCCCCAAGCTGGCGTCCTTCACAACGCAATGGCTCCGAAGCATCAGGGTCCCTGCACGTTCTTTGCAGGAGAGGCCCAATCGGGCGTTGGCAGAACTGGGTTTTGTGGGACCTGGTTTAATGATGTGCACCGGGGGGCGCCCCCTCCGTCCCCTTCCACTAACCGGAATGGCCGTAACCCGAAAAGCATTAGCTACGGCAGACCTGGTTTAGTGATTCCAATCCATATTCTGAGCTTCGGGGACCAATCACTAACCGGCTCCCCTTCACGGGGGTCCTGGCTATACCCGACCCAATGGCAATGGCTGTGCGGGCCATGGGCCTTCGGGGGTCGCCCATGGCGCCCCGCCTCTGAGGCCGTCTAGGGGTCATCCCCAGGCTCCCAGTGCCGAGGTCATCGAGGGTCGCCTGGGGCACCCTGCCTGTATGCCATTATGTGCCGTCGTGCCCACAGTGCTGTGCTGTGTGCTGCTACGATCTGCAACGCTATGCAGTGCTAATCCATCATGTGCAATACTGTGCAGTGCGACGCAACGCTACCATGCAATGCACTGCACTGCGATGCTCTGCTGTACCATGCTAGGGCGTGGCATTCCATGCCATGCGATGCGATGATGTGCTTACTCCTGGGAGTAACGAGGTCGCTCGAGGCTGGGGGCCTGGGCACTCGGGGGTCGCTGGGGGGGCAGTCGACACTTCTCAGCGAAAAAAACACAGCGCACCAGAGCGCAGAATTGCATGGCCAACATGAGCGCGTAGCTTTGTAGACCACAGCGCAACGTCGAACTGCATGCGTCCTGACACGAAAACGCCATTCCACAAAGCAGAGCCGACAACGACACTGTACAGCATCGCATGGTATTGCGTCGCGGGGCAGGATGGCAACGAAAAACACTCTTAGTTGGACAATGCGTTGCAACGCGTTGCATTGTGCTACATTACCTCCACCTCTGATCCAGGTCGTGCCGCATTCATTCCATGCCTTTCGCTCTACCGTCGCTCTTTGGGTCACCCGATGGATCGCTGCGCAACTGCAGCAGCCGCGCACCTGGCCTCCCCCGAAGGGCCACGTGAGGAAGAACCGCCCCTACGCGCCCGCCCGGGTCTCAGTAGTCCGCCGTCTACTTCTTGGACTTGGAGGCCTGGCCACCCAGCGCGGCGGCGGATCTCCCCCATGAGCTCGCAAGAAGATGGCACGACGGTCGGAGGAGGAGGAGGAGGAGGAGGAGGAGGAGGAGGAGGAGGAGGGAGGAGGGAGGAGGGAGGAGGGAAGAGGGAGGAGGGAGGAGGGAGGAGGGAGGAGGGAGGGAGCAGGTCGACAAGGGACGCGCACCCTCGCGGCGGGAGACCCTGCACAACACAGTACTGCGAACCTTCACACGGGGGGCCATACGACGGACCCTACGAGAAACCGCACGGGAGACCGTGCGGGAGACCGCACGGGAGCCCCTGCGGGAGACCGTACGCGGGAGGCCATGCGGGAACACAGGAAGGGAAGCCACGCGGGACCACGAATGCGGGAGACCCAAAGGGTCACACGGGTGGCCACGCAGCGTCGCCTGCGGGAGCCCATGCGGGAAGCCACGCTCGATCTCGCGCGGGAGGCCACATGGCCGACCTCGCGGGAGACACCGCGGGACACCAGCCTGGAGGCCACGCGGGAGACAGTGCGGGGCATCGACTGGGAGAACACACGGGGGGCTGTGCGAGAGGCCATGCGAGAAGCCGCGCGGGAAGCCCTGCGGGAGGCAGCACGGCACCACGGGAGACCAAGGCTTTCCAACCGGCTCCATACTTGTCGCGCTTCGCACCTGGCTCCTTAGAAATGATCCAAAAATGGTATTACTGCCATTACGGCACACTGCCATTATGAGTGAGAACGCGATTGAAAACGCGAGACCGAATGCAAACACTAGAGGCACGTAGGGGTCGGGACATACGGCTTACGGATACAGGAATGCGGAGATAGGAGGTGAGGATACGCATCGGTCCATCACCAATCCCATGACGCTGAAGCCGTCCTGATTAGGATCAGAATAGGAATAAGGACAGAATAGTGTGACAAAAAAATGTGGATAAAGAAGGGAGCACGGAAACAACAACGGGAGACAACAGGAGACAACGGGAGGCAACGGAAGACACCGGAACATCACGGGGGGCAACGAGAAGCGACGGGAGACTACGGGAGACAACGGAAGACAACGGAAGACAACGGGAGACAACGGGAGGCAATCGGCGCCCGACCGATTCCACGTCCGTGACCGCCCGTACTCTATGTTAAAGAAACTATAGTTCAAAATATGCTAGGACTGTCGCGCGCGCTTCGCGCGCGCTCAAGCTCCATACAAAACATCAGCGGATCATGCTGCAGCACGCATTGCTCTGCGATGTGTTTCATCCCCCTGTGCGGCCCATCCCTGCCCCCATCATTATCTGGGTATTCGGGCGCGTATGATCTCCAACGGCCTTTCCACAATCTTCAATTGTCCCTACTCTTTCGAGGGGGGGCGAAGGGTAGAGGGACACTGCGGAAAGAGCCTGAATGGGTGAGGAGTGGGTGAGGACTCGAAGGATTCCAAAAGAGGAAGCAGGGAGGGATGGAGGGCAGGAGGAGGATGAGGAGGGGAAATGGGAGCAAGAGAAAGATGAGTAGGGAACGGGAACGGAGGGCGAGGGATGTGGAAAGCGGGGCGCATTGTGGGGCAAGCCAGCAGACGCCCGAGTAAGTGTAAGGAAGCAAGTTGAAACACATGATCCTGGCGACGGACCCAACCATATGCAGGCGTGACACCGCAAGGCAGGTGGGACGAAGGAAGAGCAAGTCCCCATGGGGCCAAGAACGAACAGGCCCAGGGAGACACGCACACATAGAAATACATTACAATATCCCGCATATGATCTTCATAGTTTCTGGATGTTCGTTTTCCCCTTCGCTTCCTATATGTTCTCAGATTCCCATGTGTACATACATATATACATATACATATTTATATATATATATGTGTGTATATATATATATATATATATATATATATATATATATTCGTGCCATTGTATTTTTCCCTCCTGAAGGACACGTCAGACGGTATGCCGAATTTGTGAGGTGTCGCCATGAGGGCGCTAGCGCTGGCGCCGTTGGTGGAGCTCCGTATTGCTCATGGGGCCACGAAGTGTGTGAAGGGTGTGCCAAGATGAGGCGGCGACGCCATGCGGACCCTGGCATTTGGGCATTCGGTGGGACTCCGTGTGGGTCCGGGATGCGCGTGGGTGTTGTGTGCCCCCATGGACATGCGGAAGGCCGATGCAAGGATGGGAGCGGGCAGTGGGAGGACTGGGGACGCGGGGCGCTCTCTTCAAAACGAATACCAACCAACACAGGATGGTTTGGAAAAAAACCTACTACTACTCATCGCGTCCTCCTCCTCCTCTTCGTCCTCCTCATCTTCATCCTCATCCTCTGCCTCCGCTCTGATCCTCCATTCCTCCTCCTCCTCCTCCTCTTCCTCCTCTGCCTCCTCCTCTTCCTCCTCGGACTGACGACGACAATGATGTTCCTGGGAAGCTCTCCGGGAACATGATTGTACTTCGGGGCTTCCGAGTCTCGTGGGATTTCCTTGGGACCTCCTGGGCCGTCTTGACCGCCTCTTGGACCGTCTTGGCGCCCTGTTTGGCCGTGTTGGAGCCCTCTTGGGCGCCTCTTGGGCCGTATTGGAGCGAACTGGGAAACTTCTCGGGCAGTCATGGGGCGTCGGGAAGACGGAAAGGCGAGAGCGCACAAAGCCTTTGAAATCCTTCCGCAAGTCAGTGATTTGTGCTTCTCCTGGATCCCTTCAGGAGCCTCTTGGGAGCTGCTGGGGGGCCTGTCTGGAGACCTCGTGGGGCCTCCTGGGGGCTTCCTGGGAGCCTCTTGGGGCCCGTTGGGGCCGGCTCGTGGGCCTCCGTGTGGCTCTGGGGGACCTCGGGACACCTTGGAGCGGAGAGCCGGGAATGTCCGTTCCTGGGGTCCCTCTTGGGGCCGTCGTCTTGAGGCCTCTTGGGCCGCCTGGGCCGCCTTGGCGTCATCTCTTCTTTTCTCTCCTGGCGGCACGGACAAGCGAGCGCGCTCCTCCTCCGAGGCTCCTCCTCCTCCTCCTCCTCCTCCTCCTCCTCCAGCTCCACCTCCTCAATCTCCTGCTTCTGGCCTCCTCAGGGCGTCCTCTGGCATCTCCGCTGCACGAGGCTCAGGTGCTGATGCTGTGCTGGCTCCCAAGACCCCCGCCATGGTCATTTTTTCACGACGTCGACCCCCAGAGTTCTGGACCCATTCCCGGGGACTGGCGCTGAATTCGAAACGGAAAAACCAGAAACCTAAACTTTCGGCGGTCCGCCGCGGATTTCTCCGATCTGCGCTGGAGCCCCCCGGCAGCGCCTCTGGCGCCGCCCCTGGCGCGCAGGTTCAGGAAAGTCCACGGAGGACCGCCGACAAAGAAAAGTTCATGCCGTTCTTTCCTCTCCGAATGATCCTGAGTCGTCGCGCTGCCGAGGCCCCGGGGAGGGCCGCCGGGGGACGAACGTCGCCCGAAACCTGACGTCGTGATCTTGTCACGGTGCGCTGGAAGCAAAACCTCACTGGAGGCAAACATTGGTTGCTCACAAGGAAGTCTGGCTCCATCCTCTATCCTCCATCCTCCGTCCTTTGTCCCCATCTTCCATCCTCCTCCTCCTCCTCCTCCTCCTCCTCCTCCTCCTCCTGTTCCTCATCCATCCTCCTCCTCCTCCTCCTCCTGCTCTCCTCCTCCTCCTACTTCTCCTGTTGTGCCTCCTCCTCCTCCTGCCCTCCTCATCCTCCCCCTCCTCCCCCTCCTCCTCCTCCTCCTCCTCCTCCTCCTCCTCCTCCTCCAATCCTCCTCCTTCTGCTCCTCAGCCTCCTCCTCCTCCTCCTCCTCCTCCTGTTCATCTTCCTCCTCCCTCGTCCTCCTTCTCCTCCACCTCCTCCTCCTCCACCACCTCCTCCTCTTCCTCCTCCTCCTCCTCCCCCCAGCCCCCCTGGGCCCCAGGCGGGGCTGCCACGACGCCGAGGCGAGATTTGCGACGCGTCCCACTCCTGCCACACATTCCGCACATTCCACGACCAGAGAGGCCATGTGGAGAGGACAAACGTGGACTTTGTATTGCTCTTTGACAGGAAGGACGGCCCCCGCCACTTGAGGGTGTCCAGATGTTCGCCGCGCTCCATTAATGCCACACATTTCCAGCATTCGACAAGCAGAGACGTTATGTCAAAAGTAAAAACGTTGACGTTGCATTAGCTTTTGAAAGGTACGATGGCCCCCCCCCGCTTGGGAGTGCCCAAGACGCAGGCGCGAGATGTGCGCCGCGTCCCATTCCTGCCACACATTTCGCGCCGTCGACGACCAGAGAGGCCATGCTCAGAGTAAAAGTAGCGATGTTGTATTGACTTTTACAATTAGAACGGCCCCCGCCGCTTGACAGTGCCCAAGATGTCGGCGCGGGATGTGCGCCGCGTCCCAGGAGGAGCAAGAGGAGGGGCAGCAAGGGGGGAGAGGAGGAGGAGGAGGAGGAGGAGGAGGAGGAGAAGGCGGAGGGCGAGCCACTACGATAGTAAGACCGAGTGTGCGCGGCGCCATGGCGAGAGCCTCAGGCTAAGAAACAGGAGCCCTCGCCCCGTGCACCTTCTTGGGCGGCCTGGAGGGAATCTGGGGCCGTGTGGGCGGACCCGAGGGTCGTTTGCCTGGGCCCCTGGGCCGTCTCGGAATCTTCTGGGGCCATCTGGGGGCCAAGTTGGAAGGTCCCCGAACTCCCTGCGTTGGCCACCTGAACGCGTATGCCGTGATACACACACACACACAAACACACACACACATACATACATACATATATATATATATATATATATATATATATATATGTGTGCGTGTGTGTGTAAATTCGCCCGCCCAACGGGCCAAAGGCGTGCTAAGATCTCCGGTAACTGGTTAGCAATATTCTACTTCGCGCGCGCGGGGCGGCCCCTGAGGGTCTCCGGGCGAAAAGTACCCCGGCAAGGTCCCGGCAGACCCGGGTCAGAGATGCCGGACCGGGTAATTTTTCAACACCCCTCACGAGGATCGTGGCCTCCGAGGGGGGAGCCGCAATCGACTAC